AATATTAACAATTTTATATCAGTATAGAAAGTAGTTTTATCATTAATATTATCATTGGATTGGCTCATGTTTAATCATCATGTTAATTAAATATTTAACATAAATATAGTTGCTACAGTTAAAAAAACTTACTTGCGTCAAAGCTACTGTGGTACAAGTTTTGCGTCTAACGAGACGTCCCAATCGTGATTTACCTTTCACGATACAATAAGGTACTCCCATTTTACGACACAGAGCGGGTAAAAATAGAACAACCTGTAATAAAAGATAATACATCGATAAATTACAATACAGTAATTATTATACCACGCGTAAAATTACATTATCACTCAGTAGTACGTTTCATCGTTTCAATAAAAATGATTATATCAATCTTATCGTCAGGTGAAGAAATTCAAACATCATTGTGATAATGTATTTTATTACAGTTCTTATGACCCAAAAAATTTACCTCGATTGGATCCACATCATGAGCAATGACCACAAGCTGAGCTTTCTTCTGTTCAACAAGTGTGGTCACTGTATTTGTCCCACTCCGTACTACATTAGGTTTTTTAGTTGGCGTATCTTCTTTCTTTGCGACTTTCTGTTCAGCTTTGGCTTTTAATCTCATCTTCTTCATAGCGGCTGATTCAGGCCTATATTTTTCCAACATTTTAAACAGTTGTGTTGCTGTAACAGAACGCGATTAATCAATTTCTGAAAATTAAATTTCTACAGTTTAAAGTAATTATTTACTTTAGCAATGCTTCATAGGTCTCACTGAGCTTGAAATATGATGTCAAAGGCATCATTCTGATCAACTTTCCCCTATTAAATATATATAATATAAAATACAACATACCTGTTTGTTTATCTAATGTTTGTGTAAACTGACTGATTGGTGGTGGTACTTTTAATCTCTTTTGTAACACTGCTCTTTGCCTTTGAATACGAATGTATTTGGGCCATTTCACAAAACGGCTAAGATCACGAGCAGGTTGAATATCCTGTCCTACATATTAAATCCATTAAAATCAGCATAGTAGTCATACAATACATATTTGAAATATACATTTAAGGTATATTTTTACTTACCAATGCCAAAATTACGTGTACGCTTCTCAAATAGAGGATTGGTTTGCTTTTTGGGTTCAACCTTCTTGACTGCCAGTGGCGGAGCAGCCACCTTCTTTCCTACTTTCTTCTTAGGCTACATTATAAGAATATAAACATTTATTGTATATAAAGCTACTACAGATTTTTACTATTGTTATACAAACACAATACAAAATTTAGAAATGTGATTAACCTTATTCAAGTAAAACATTGCACATTATAATTGCATTATTAGAACTTATTTTCACTTATGCCAATAAATCTTGTTATTTACAATAAGTCAAAACTTCGATACGTGATTAAGTATAATGATCAAATATATAAAAAAGAAACATATTTATACAACCATACTACCCCAGAACATGCCAAATTCTAAACATCACAATTCACAGTACTGGAGCATCACTAATAGAAATATTACTTTTATTCGGCAAAGTATTGAATTTACCTTTTTCTGAACCATCGTGTTAGTAAAAAATCCGATGGATTCTTTATATCCCAACGGATGTAAAATTCAGTACTTCGCCCAGTAAAACGCGAAGTACGGCCGTTGAGAACGTAAAGAAAGATTCGTGCAACAGCGCCACCATTCAACGATAGCAGCGCCTTAGAATTTGTTTACAACAATAACAATTATTATACTATACACTACTGTATGTACACATATATGATATGTATGAATCACCATCGATGTGCATGGATGGATAAACTTTAATACATAGCATAGAATTATCATTTTTTTTCATATTTAAAAAAAATAAAACATAAGTAAGTACTTACAAAATGTAAAATCTTATACAGCACAGTTTGAAATATATATAATCAACATATCATTTTTTCTTAAACCTGCTATTTGAAACTTCTGCAAATTAGTTTCATGTATGAATCAGGTTTCATATATATACAACACTATAGTCACTGTAGTGTTCGAAGTGCGTACGCATGCGTAGATCCAACAGTGAATGTGGCTGACAGAAGGGGATCGCGCGTGCGACCTACGCGCCTCCGGTTTAGACTGTTTTCCGATGAGAGACGCGTAGCAAACGTCGTATCAGTGTTCATAACGTGCCAACGATCTGCTTACGATACGTTGCTGTCATGTACGCTGATGCTCGGTATTCGGAAAACTTTTATTTATTAGTGTGTTCGTGACAGTGAGTGACCAGGGTAGCTTGTGATCCACGGCTTATCGTGACATTTCCTTCCTACCGTCGATTCCGAGGAGCCTCAATTTTTCTCTCAAGGCATACTTTTAGAACTGTATTAGCTACAGGTATCTAACTACTCTAGATCGAATGGGATTACTTCTATTGTTTTCTTACACATTTTTACTAAACGTCTATTAACATATTTTATTTATTTTATCTTTTGTTACTGTCAGTAATATTCATGAATTGTAATCAGTGCTCGAATTGTATGTTTAAGTCGTTCTATAGCATTCTATTAATACTTACTGACAAAAACTTAATAAACATTTATTTTCTTGACATACAGTCGATTCAATCGACATTAAATCATAGCTTTGTAAGAACTTTTTCATTGAAAAGAATGCCAAGCATCAACCGGGAAAGTATGAATTTGTGTTAACTACTACTAATTGAACTACATTTAAGTTTTATTCTGTATATAAAACTTATTATTTGATAGTGGCACGTATACAAATATAGAATTATCAAATCATGTTCTAATTTCTACTATTCGAATCACAATGGAATTAAATATTATTGAACTGTTAATTAAATGTGATTTATTCAATTCGCACCTAACTCAAGTACAAGTGGAATAAAAATCGAAAAGTTATACATGTCACTACACTAGCCCCTTGAAAGGAATTTTCTGCTTACTCGATCCCAATTTATTTGTCTACAGATTAACAGTATCTTCACATTCCTTATTTTAGAAGTCCTTGCAGAGCTGTCGGTGTCTCTATGTAATAAATTCTTGTTGACTAAATTATTACCATAATACTTGCCGTCAACTGTAATCTCATTCCTAGATAACAATATATATTTTTTTAATCTTCCATTTCTTAGAAACGTTATAAAGATATAAGCTTGATATACAGCTGTGGCATTAGTTTTCTTTAAGGCATTTAGCCGGCAACATTTAATTACATGCTCGATAGGTACAATACGATCAGTCGACAATGACTATCAGAAAGATTTGCGGTATCGGTGCCGGATACGTGGGCGGACCAACGTGCGCCGTGATCGCCCTCAAATGCCCAGAAATTCAAGTTACTGTAGTGGACAAAAGCAAAGAGAGAATAGCCCAATGGAACTCGGAGAAGCTGCCGATCTATGAACCCGGCCTTGACGAGGTAGTACGGAAATGTCGCGGCAAAAACTTGTTCTTCTCTACGGACATAGAGACCGCGATCCAGGAAGCGGACCTAATCTTCATCTCGGTCAACACGCCGACGAAAACGTTCGGGAACGGTAAAGGGAGAGCGGCCGATTTGAAATACGTCGAGAACGCGGCCAGAATGATCGCGGAAATTGCGACCGGGGACAAAATCGTTGTGGAGAAAAGTACGGTGCCGGTCAGGGCTGCTCAGAGCATCATGAACATTCTACGTGCCAATCATAAGCCTGGTGTCTCGTATCAGGTAACATTTTCTGCGTACTTCTTCATTCACTTCGCAAACATTTGAACAAGATCGGGCGAAATTGCCATCGATCGGCTTCATTGTATAGGTAACGTTCGCTGAATTGCTTGCTATTCGCGTAATAAATGTCGAGTTCCAATGCTCGTATTCCAACAATTAAGGAGTCATAAAACATTTCATAAATAATTTTTTTAGACCAAATACGAATCAACAAACGTTAAAACTTCTAGCTACATAAACTTTCAGATTCTTCAGTCTTTTAAGTATTTCAATACGATACATTATATTGGCAAAAATTCATTCACCTGAAAACTCTACGAAAGATTTATCATCTCAGAGCACTAACACAACGATGAAATTAATAGCCAAATGATTTTTATTTTGATCAAGAATTGTATTGCGAACTCCTTTATTTCAGAAACGGTGTTTATTATATATAATTTATTATATATGTAATAAAATTTGTACTTCGAGTGTGTTATGAGTAAGATTTGATTTGGTAAAATTTGGTTTGACCAAATCTTAAATTTAATTCTCCTCTTAGAATTTCTTTTGTTTGTTTCTTTTACGATTCTCATTATACATTTAGAACAGACATGTAGAATAAAAAATGTATTTCATAATTAAGTTATGTTCGGGGGATAACACATCCGGATCTCAGGAATGGTGACTGACTTAGCCACGTGGCTCATCTCCGATCCGTTGTTGCGTATCACAGATAAAGATTGAGTTCGTAGATGTTATAGACCATTTATTGGAGTTAATATTGCAGCAAAATTGAAGCAAAGAAAATTTAGTACAGCCGCAATTTGCTTTCAACGAAGCATTAGACTACACACTTTGGAGCTATTTTTAGATATACCGGATACACCTTTTCTTGCATGTCGATTAACATTTTTTACTGACATAAAATCATTATTTATAATCATGTAATTCAGTTGTTTTTCTCTCATAATATTTTGATAAAAATCAGATTTATATACTTTTTTAGAGATATAATACTTTTTTATCGAATGATAAAAATTTATTGAGATAATTACTTAATTCTTTCCAATTATTTGAAATGCAAAAGTTTAATATATGCTCAGTGACAATTTCGAATTTTATTATTGAATTTACTGATAAAATATGCCAAGTCAATATCTTACAGAAATAGAATTTAATGTGATTTGAATTTTATTTTGCATTACACGAATGTAGAATAAGTTAATTAATTTGATCTTCCATTATGACGATAGGTAAACGTTTACTTTGATAGCTCTTCTATAATTGAGTGAAAAGTGTTATATGATTGCGTCCTGATTCTATGTTATCCACGCTGCCTACTTACACCTATTATTAACGCGCGTCCGAGACTCGAAATTGCCTACTTTATTACTTGTTGAATTTATTCCTGTCAGCCGAGATTATTCTCCGATTCTATTGATACGATTCTTATCTACCATTTGTCACAGCCTATTCGTTTTGTTCATGACCCGTTTTACTTCTCACAACTAACGAACCTTCTCATTATTTGCTTCACGACAACTGATATCATTGATGGGATTCTGCAAGAGGACACTAACAAGATTATCCTTTTCAGATCTTATCGAATCCAGAATTCTTGGCGGAGGGAACCGCTATCGAGGATCTAGTGAACGCAGATCGTGTTTTAATCGGAGGTGAGGACTCGTCGGAAGGGCAAGCAGCGATCGAGGAATTATGCAAGGTTTATGAGCACTGGATTCCGAGAAAAAATATTTTGACCACGAATACGTGGAGCTCGGAATTATCCAAGCTGGTAAAGAAATGAGGAAAAAAATTCATTCATTGGGGTAAACAACTTCACTGCTGTTTGCGGAACGTTAATGAAGGAGAATTAATTAATTTTGCCGAATGTGTACTGTGAATTCTTGCTATCGATAAGGAAAGGAAAGTTACGCTGTTTGTCAAATATTTAGGTAGTAACGTCACGTATTTCATTTTGAGTAACGTTTTGCAACCATTCGTGATAAAGTTCGTCTTCGGTCTAATATTTACTTTCGTTAATGAGCACGTACGAAATTACACAATTATTTGAATTGGTTGTTTTAGGCTGCCAATGCCTTTTTGGCACAACGTATATCGAGCATAAATTCATTGTCGGCGGTGTGCGAAGCTACTGGCGCGGACGTGTCCGATGTGGCGCGAGCAGTCGGCCTCGATTCTCGAATAGGATCGAAGTTCCTTCACGCATCGGTCGGTTTCGGTGGTTCCTGTTTTCAAAAGGACATTCTTAATTTGGTATATATTTGTGAATGTCTGAATCTACCTGAGGTTGCCGCCTATTGGCAACAGGTCATAGACATGAATGAATATCAAAAATCAAGGTTCTCGGTGAAAGTAATCGAGTCCCTGTTCAATACGGTCACGGACAAAAGGATTTCTATGCTGGGATTTGCCTTCAAGAAAAATACCGGTGACACGCGTGAGTCACCAGCCATTCATGTCGCTAAAACACTGCTTGACGAGGGTGCTGTGCTTCATATTTACGATCCTAAGGTAAACTTCTTTAATGAAACCATAATTATGCATTCTTCATTTATTCCAAGTATCTTGTAATGTTTTTAATGAAGGTTGAAGAGAATCAAATCATCGAGGACTTGACGCATCCAAATGTAACGAATAATCCTGAACATGTAAAAAGCAGAATCAGTATTTATAAGGATGCTTACAGTGCCACAAAAGGCACACACGCTATTGTCTTATGTACTGAGTGGGATGAATTTGTAGTATGTGAACGCAGATCGTGTTTTAATCGGAGGTGAGGACTCGTCGGAAGGGCAAGCAGCGATCGAGGAATTATGCAAGGTTTATGAGCACTGGATTCCGAGAAAAAATATTTTGACCACGAATACGTGGAGCTCGGAATTATCCAAGCTGGTAAAGAAATGAGGAAAAAAATTCATTCATTGGGGTAAACAACTTCACTGCTGTTTGCGGAACGTTAATGAAGGAGAATTAATTAATTTTGCCGAATGTGTACTGTGAATTCTTGCTATCGATAAGGAAAGGAAAGTTACGCTGTTTGTCAAATATTTAGGTAGTAACGTCACGTATTTCATTTTGAGTAACGTTTTGCAACCATTCGTGATAAAGTTCGTCTTCGGTCTAATATTTACTTTCGTTAATGAGCACGTACGAAATTACACAATTATTTGAATTGGTTGTTTTAGGCTGCCAATGCCTTTTTGGCACAACGTATATCGAGCATAAATTCATTGTCGGCGGTGTGCGAAGCTACTGGCGCGGACGTGTCCGATGTGGCGCGAGCAGTCGGCCTCGATTCTCGAATAGGATCGAAGTTCCTTCACGCATCGGTCGGTTTCGGTGGTTCCTGTTTTCAAAAGGACATTCTTAATTTGGTATATATTTGTGAATGTCTGAATCTACCTGAGGTTGCCGCCTATTGGCAACAGGTCATAGACATGAATGAATATCAAAAATCAAGGTTCTCGGTGAAAGTAATCGAGTCCCTGTTCAATACGGTCACGGACAAAAGGATTTCTATGCTGGGATTTGCCTTCAAGAAAAATACCGGTGACACGCGTGAGTCACCAGCCATTCATGTCGCTAAAACACTGCTTGACGAGGGTGCTGTGCTTCATATTTACGATCCTAAGGTAAACTTCTTTAATGAAACCATAATTATGCATTCTTCATTTATTCCAAGTATCTTGTAATGTTTTTAATGAAGGTTGAAGAGAATCAAATCATCGAGGACTTGACGCATCCAAATGTAACGAATAATCCTGAACATGTAAAAAGCAGAATCAGTATTTATAAGGATGCTTACAGTGCCACAAAAGGCACACACGCTATTGTCTTATGTACTGAGTGGGATGAATTTGTAGTAAGTAACAATTATAGTTATGGTAAATATTTTTAATATAATTTTATAATTATTGGACTTTTTACCCTTTTCCAGGAATTGGACTATAAACGGATTTACGTTAACATGATGAAACCAGCGTATATTTTCGATGGAAGGAAAATTTTAGATCATAGTAGGTTACAGAAGATCGGATTTGTTGTACAGACTATTGGTAAGAAAATTACGAGAACGGTACTTTCGAGAGCGTGGGGAAGTCAAACCCAAGTATAATTACAATTGAGCAGGCTGGAATAGGAAACAGAAAGCACTATAATTTCATAGACATTCTGATTATTTCATGATTTCTTTGGAAACGTTGTGACTGAAGGAGGTTTGTTAAATATGTTAAAGCATAATTTTGGTATAAGGAGTTTCTGCTTTCTCAATTTGACGAACCCCTATGTTAGCAAATAAAATTTTTATGTTAAATTTGATAAATGTAAAATGGATGTCCTGGTACCCGATTACTAACATGAGGATCAAAATGTAATTTCATAAAATTCGGAAAGTGTAACAAATTTTTTTTCTCGAAAATTTTCGCTATTTAATACAAATATTTGAAGCAAACACTTCTTTAACCAAAAATTTTTACAATAACGAACAATATCAAATGACTCAAACGTTTACGTGTGTAAGTTCCTTACATAGTTTGATATGTAGTGGAAGAATCTCTAATTATCATAATTATATAGTATTATTTGTATATGCGTTGTTATTACAACTTGACGATTGTGAGCATTTATGCGATCAGATAAGATTCCGTTTTGAACAACCAGGATCTACAATACTTTTTATTTTTGTGCAATTTTATATGTGTATATACATGCAAAAAATATTGAAATACGATGTATTTTAAAATAGTGCATTCCTAGAAGATGTACTGGCATACCTGCATTTGTTTTAAAAACAGATTAACAAGTTTTGTTAATCATGCATTGTCAAGGTTTTATTTTTTTACATTTTCAATGTATCTTCTTTCCATTTTAGGAAAACATTTTCCTATAATTGTTTAATCATAGATGTTGCGTAATTTATAAATAGTATTTTTACACATTTAAATAATTCGTTCCTAATGATTAAAATTCTTTTACAACATAGAGAAAGAGGATAATATTGTTTATATCTTTTTTAACAGTAACATTAGGAACGAATGAACGAAGTAAATAATATAATATCCACCTTATACATGGTATATTATATTGAAATATTCTTTACAATATACCATTTATAAAACAAGCTAGGGACTAAGTATAACACCTGCAATAATTTTACAAAAACTATTTTCATTGTATGTAATTACATGAATGAAATTGCTATGAATCATTAATTGTTCTTCATTTATTTCATAAAATGTGTCACTTTTAGTTTCCTAATTAGAATACTTAAGTTTTAAAAATAAATGTAGAATCTCTATATCTATGTATATTCGTCTAGCGAAATTCTTACCAATTTTTGCCAAGAATTTCAATACTTTAGATTCAAAATGAAACAGAATTAATGAAAGTATTTGGTATTATCAGTTTCCCATGCAGAAATTGTTATTTTATATGCAGTAAATGTATATATGATTTCTACATGAAATATAAATGTTAAATTACTGCTGTAAATTTTGAAATAAATTTAAAAATTATACTTGCAATTAAAATTTTAAATGGATTTCGATTTTTATAAAATTCTTTGATCTTGGATTTTCGTCGTCAAACGTAATCGGTAAACAAACCTATGATGCATATTAAAAAAATAAGAATATGGCTGGAAATATTGTGATTGGTAATTACGGTCCTGTCGTGGGAGAACGATGGCGCCGCTGTGCGAACTACTGACTACAGAAACATTGGCAGCAGCGGCGACGGTGACCGGGTGACGGCAGTAGCGGCGGCAGTAGCAATAGTATAAGTTGTTCCGCGTTTGCTGTGAAAATTCGCGAGCGGTCCGCGTGACAGTACATGGATTACGTGTATTTACGAGCCGGACGATGATGTCGGAGAACTGGTGCTGCGTGATTCACGCAAGATCGAGCCGTTCGCCTAAGTGCCAGTGAATCGTGTATCGTTTTGTACCACCGGTTCGCATTTTTCCTTGTCTCGGCGAAACTTCTCTTTCTGTTAGCCAACAGGGATAATAGGCCGGGCCTATCAGCACAGTAGGAAAATGGCGGCTCGCCTTGCGTGGCGTAGACGACAAGGGGTAACGAGGCTCCTCTTCGGGTAACGTGACAAAAGTACGAAAAGTAAGAGCAACCCTTCATCACCGTTGTCGGCCGTTTCACGTAAAAGTGCGAAAAGTGAAATAGTGCGTGGCGCCTGTTCGATCGTCCAGCGTGGTGAAACGGAAAGCGAGAAGAGTAATACGTATATCAGAGGAGGAACGCGCGTAAGAATAAGAGAGATAGGTACAGATATACAGAGAAGGAAAAAAGGAGGGACCTCGTTAGCGCGAATACCACGAGTTACGAGATGAGAGCGAGACGTGAGGAAGAGCGGCGGAAAAACAACACGGGATCCGAGTAACGAAGAAGAATCACTGTGCGTTCCGTTTGTGCACGCGTGTACGCTCGTATGAGAGCGAGCAACGATCAACGGTGACAAGTGTTCCGTCGACGGGGAACGTTCGCCTTAGCCCCACGTCGACAAGAAGATGATTATTATGGTCATTGAGATTACGTTGTGGCTACGTCGATCGCGATCCTCGTGCCGCCGTTTAATGTCGTCGCCATTGAGCTACGGCCGCTTCCGCGAAAATTAGTTTTTTCGCGAGGGAGCGAGTGGACGGCCGAGCGAGCGACGGCGAGACGACGGGGACGACGACGTCAAAACGACGAAAACCTGAGGGAAGATGAGAGGCGCGTGCGACGGCGGCATAGCGAGCTTTCTCGCTCTGGCGCTTTTCTGTTTATTCCACACGTCATGCCTTGTGGACGGTATGTATATGATGTTTTTCTATCGTCCGTCATACTTTTATTTTTCCTCGTTTATTCTTTTTCTTTCGTCTCCCATCCTTGGCCTCTTTCATTTTTGCTGCATATTTATAATGACATTACTAAGAGATAGATGGAATCGCGATCTCGTTATTCCTTCCGAAAAGCTTTGAACTTCGTTTTAAGCAAAAATATAAGACAATACAAATGATACCTACGTATGTGCTCTCTATTTTCCTTTTAATTCATTTCTCTCTTAGGTACATTTTTTTGCTTTTATCTTTCTTCCTGTTCACCTGTCATTTTATTCATTTCCGTACGATTGTTGTTCCCGCTTTTTTCCTTGTTCTTACAATATCCGAAGTCTGTAACAATGCATAAGCAGCGCAACATCGTAAACGCGTATACAATACGTGCACATATGTACGAGAAGGGTCGATTAATCTTATATATGTATATATATACAAAGTCTGTTGAGCACGCGGAAGGGTATGTTTAATCGGCGCAAGCTATATTCTATGTCTAGTACACAATTAATACATAAGACTTTTTTCGGTGCTGTTATGCCTGTGCTATTGTTCCTCTGCCTGTTTCATTTAGACAAATATATATGTTCATTCATAACAATATTAAAATACTTAAATTAAATTCAATAAAATATTCATGTGAAATAAAGCTTTTGTAACTTAAGTGTTATTATTCTAGTGAACTGAAGAGTATCTTCATAAAAATGAAACATTTTTTTGCAGAGTATTATCAGTACTCTGACTGTGATTCTTTTAAAATTTGTTTCATCGTGGATAACTGGAGTCCATGTTCTCTTATTCTCGTTACTTGCATCTACAGAGGTATTAATTTCGTCAACCTCAATTACATAGTCATAACCCATTACGTGATTTTATCAGCGCGCGGAGGCCTATTTACGTAGCTGATAATTGTTGGTCTACCTTAAACGCATTGCTTGAAATAATTAGAGGATTATTTGCGCGAATGACTTTATTGCTCGGGCAAAACATGTACAGGTAATACCGTGACATCTAAGCAGTAATTAATTACACATAAACGTTGCGTGCATTCTGTCACCGGAATGTAACAGCGATATTAAGTAATTTGCGAGGGAAGCATGTTACTAAAGTTTACATCGAACGCCGACGTTGTTTGAGGATCAATTTAGCGTTGTTAACTTTTCGCAAACAGTATATCGCGTGTTCGTATACATAACTTGAGCAAATTGTACCGCAATATGATATTTTAATGCAGTACACCCGCTTTGAAGGTTGTCAACATACATACTGTACATGTTATGTTCAATGCTGATTTTCGAGTGTCTATTTTGGATATTTGGCTGTGTTTTCATTGCTTTTCGTTTCGCGATTCATTAATTGATTTCATCATTATAATACATGTGTATAAATCAATATTTACAAGCACAACGTTGAAATCAAATAAAAATGATTATAGAATGAAATCCGAGATCTATTGATGGACAAATATTTAAAAACATTAGCTAAGTATGTATAAGTGAATTTTATTCTCGACGTATTTTTATAATCGACGTTTACGTTCTATGACAATCGATACGTAGTTTCGAGATAAAATGTTTCATCGAATTGTAATGTCACGAAAAATCACTGATAAATGATATCTTATGATTTCGAAATCCACAATCGTCTTTGGACGATACGTAATCACACACGTAAACGTATGCATTTGAATGCAAATGATTGATTTTTCAGCGTCGAATCACCTCATGCCACGAGAGCCTATTTATGCTCCGCTTCTTATTATTACAAACACATGCTTAGCTGGATCGCGGCCTCTTATCTCCGTACCGCCTCGATAGTTAATTAAGATACTTTACGATCATCTTATTCTGTTTTTGCCTCTTTCCTGTTGCCTTCGCCTTCAATACAACTTTCGCCTCAAGGAAAATGCTGTTGCCTGAGATGAAGAAGAATATTTCACGATTCTTTGTTTCATGATCATATTTACTCGCTGGATAAGCGAGCAATTTCCATTTAATATTCTCTGATCCTGTTCTTGATTGTCGGACGCTATAGCGGTAGATCTTTTGAAATTTGTTCAGGAATAATCTTCCTCAGCATTGGTAATAGCAACGGTTGATAATAATTGATAGATTCTGTTAAATCTATTAGGCCGACTAACATGTGAGTTCTTACACAGAATTTTGTTAGTTTTACATGTTTTTAAATACAGAGTCAAGTTTATTTTACATTCCGATTTGTCAAAGAATTGCTTTTTTAGTTTCATGTACATATCTTTAACTCGTAAATGTGTTTCATCGAACTTCTGGTTATTCTGTAATGATTAATAATTGATTCGCACGTAAATCTTTCGAATTTTTCAGGATCGACTATATGACTGCAACAGTCGATGAAACTAGTATATTGTTATTTCGTGGATGATTAAGATTATTAGTGGCCGCTGAATAGAAATAAAACGACCGTAGGTCAGAAAAAAGGCTGCTGGCATCGTGGCAACGACCCTAACGCGATATTAGTGACGAGCAGTCCATGGAC